TTGTTGATTGCAAAATGTTATACACAAAAAATGAGCATGTATTTACAAAACCCAACATCTCTATATATACACACACAATGAGCAGTGAGGGTATCTGCAAATGAACCAGCCGTTACACTTGAGTGCACACCCACCCTCTCTGACTGGGTTCGGTATCCCGGCTGCTTCGTTTCTTGGGAAGTACACAATATTGCACTTTTGATTTGCGATTGTACGCTTATAATTTTGTTTATATGTTTTGACATAACCAGCAATGTATATTATATGTCATGAATAAGTGATAATTGTGTTTTAATTATGTTTGATTTTTTGGTTGCATGTGACCTTTAAGTGTTGTCATCTCAATATCGAGCCAGTCAAGGTTACGGCCTTGGGCAACAAAATCGTCGCCCAAACAACCATATTTCCTGTAACAGACGCCCAGATGTGTGTGAATGACCTTGCTTGTATTAGAGACAGGCGTGCATCTAACACGTCTGATAGAGGTGGGGTAGCCTAGTGGTTCAAGCGTTCGCTCGTCACGTCGAAGACCCGGGTTCGATTCCCCACATGGGTACAATGTGTGAAGCCCATTTCTGGTGTCCCCGTCGTGATATTTCTGGAATATTGCTAAAAGCGGCGTAAAATAAAACTCACTCACTCTGATGGTGATGATGATGAATGGAGATTTTACGTGCGCTTTCCGACATGTTGTGTATTTCCCGTACGGAGTTCTCGACGGCCATTTGAACTCGAGTCGAGGTGTATGCGAGGTCTGTTACTAAACGAGGATTTTTAATTTACGTCACTGGTCATAACAGATTTGATTTTGAACGCAGCTAAAAATCCCAAGTTTGTGGGAGATACGTATAAGCAAATTATATTACATTCTTACATATGTTATATACTACCCATCAAAAGTTTAGACTCACTAGTGTAAATGTAGCCACTTACTTGTCCACTGTTCTAAACTAGCTTTTTGCAAAATATTCCATACTGTTTAAAGGTACTGTTTAGTTATGAACTGGTGTATTGTAAAACATATTCGTAACATTGAAAAGATTATTGTCATGAGTTCAGTAAATGATTAAAATCTGTGAAAATTGGCGAATTCTTAACAAAACTTTACACCAAAACGCATCTGTTCACATGCACGACATTTGCTCATGCCTTTCGCAATTTGAAGCATCATCCTTGTGCAATTCATCTGCATAAGGTTTTCAGTTGGTTCCCCCAAGTTGGTGGAGAAATTCATCTGATGTAACCACATACATATACATAACATATAGTGAGTGCTTTAAGTGAGTCTAAACTTTGATGGGTAGTATATTTGGGATTACATTTTCTCTATAGAGTATACTCAGTCTCCATCTCCACTTGTCTAAAAACAGATAAAAATATTTAACATCTTGCGGAAGAAACTTAAGCTTTAGAAAATGATATAAGAGATCATTTTCAAAATATAAATGAGAAACAACAACACAACCAGAGCAAAAATTTACTCTCCAACCGTAAATGACACAAAAAAGTTAGAGCAAAATGTTATTTTCCACCTGCTTAGACGTCTCCTGTTCTTAAACATATACATAAGATGCGTCTAGAGTCTGGTGAATATAACTTCAGGGGTATTTATCTTCAATCGTTTATCTTTAATGAAGAAAGTACTTATAAGTATATCGGATGGAAACGTGGAAATGGTACAGTGAGTATTGTTTTACGCCGCTTTTAGCAATATTCCAGCAATATCACGGCGGGAACACCAGGAATGGGCTTCACACATTGTACCCATGCAGGGAACTGAACCCGGGTCTTCGGTGTGACGAGCGAACACTTTAACCACTAGGCTACCCCACCTCCCGAAATGACATTAAATTGTTGTGAAAAGTGAGAGATCGTATATGATTCCGTGGCACCAAGAGGGATAAATGTTTTCTTTCAAGTTTTGCTGTCTCTTAAGTTTTGTTTTATTTGTTGTTTTAAGCCCAAACCCTACAATTTTCCACTAAAATAAACTGTCTGGACCAGACTCTGTGAGGTGAGGTGAGGTGAAATTGGGTTTAACGTCGTGCTTGTGAATATTTCGCTCATATGACGACGTGCATGCGTGTGTATCTGTATGTGCGGCTGCTTGTACTAGCCCAGACTTAAGCTGGTTTTATAGTGCTAGCCCACTGAGATACCATGCCGCAGTGAAGCATGAATACCCCACTCAGACACAGTATACTGACTCCGAGCCGACCAGTCCTTGATGTACCCATTTATGCCGAGCTCCAGGCAGGGACCAACAAGTACCATATTTTAACGTCTTTTGGTATGACGCGGTCGGGGATCGAACCGACGACCTTCCGCTCTCCGGGCGGACGCTCTAACCACTACACCACGGAGGCGGTCGGACTAGACTCTGTAGTGATTGACATACATGTATAGCTACGTAATAGGAATACAATGACATGTATCAATCAAAACATCAGGGCTGACCACCCGATCCTGTTCATCGACCCAACGATAGCTGTGCATATTATACTCTTTAAAAAAGTGGGGAAACGTGAACTTTCAACTGGGATAGGAGGTGTAAGCGTTAACAAAGTTTTCAAAGGCAGACATCTTATGAACGCACCAACATTTCTCTTTATCACCACCCCTAAACGGGGCGGTGAGGTAGCCCAGTGGTTACGGCGTTCGCTCGTCACACCGAAGACCCGGGTTCGATTCCCCACATTGTGTGAAGCCCATTTCTGGTGTCCCACGCCGTGGTATTGCTGGAATATTGCTAAAGGCGGCGTAAAACTATATTCACTCACTCACCCCTAAACACAACGCATGGGATGCACGTGCACAACGCAGTAGCTCCATACACGTGCTTGGGGGGTCATTTTTTAATTTGCTGGGTTTCATAAAGGTCGACAAATCACTGTATATCATTATTTTTTGACAATCATCTTGCATCACATAGTTGTAAGTGTTGGTTTCTAGCCGTTTTGTTGTTTTTTTTAATTTGAAAATGAAAATCGCACACATACAAATTTCACGTAATATACCAATCATCTTTCAAGAGCGATTACTGTACAAACAACTATGGTCATAAGGAAGTGCAAGTGGTGATGCACTCTCACAACTTTCATTATTATCATATCAAGATTGAATGACTCCGATATATCTCCCATTTTTTTCAATTGTAAGATATAAATGAAGTTCCCCTATTTTTTAAGAGTATAAATCATGTCAGAATGGGGGTATGGTGCCGTATACACATGCCCTGGGCCTTGATTTTCGAAGCTCTCTTAGCGCTAGGATAGTCGGAAGTGCCATACATTAACATTGACTTACGACTATCTTAGCGCTAAGAGAGCTTCGAAAATCTAGGCACTGGTGTCTTTGCGAGGATTAAAGATTTTTAAAAAAATACAAAAACATGATCCCCGACTTGACAAGGTCATCCATGATGTGTTGTACATGTACTGTGAAGCATTTCGGTCGGGGGTCATCTCAAAAAGATGATTTTTCTAAATCTTTAATCCTGGCAAAGACACGAGGGCCTGTGGCAGTACACGGGAGGATGCCAGAACCGCTTCAAACAGTTGAGGCATGACACTTTGTGTGGTATGTGTCGTGGAATGCTGGGTGCGAGGGTATGCTGGAAGTCTGACATGTTAGTACACATGGGAGATCAAGGGACAGGAATGACGTCTGTAAAACTAAATGTGCTTTAATTGGATGTGTTTGACTTGCTGGATGACAGAAGCGAACATAAAAGATCCCATTATTGGTGAGACTTGATCACATCATCCCACTTCGTACATTTTCGTGAATATGTTTGAGAGAGTACGTGTTAAATTTATGGATCTTTCTTACATAATATCTTGGTGTAATATTTTCATGACACATTTTGGTCCAATGCATGATTGTGAAACAATACATCGTTGCATGTCATGCCCACGTTTTCGGGTGTATCAAATATTGTCGAAATATATCGCTGATAACGTTGTTCTTAAACTTCACATTATACCAGTTGGTATTATTTCACATTATACCAATGACATGCTAGGGTACAAAATGATTTCATCTGAGTGAGGTCGTCATATGACCTGTGCAGCGCCACTTCATTGTTCAAGTTGTATAGGGCGGTGGGGTAGCCTAGTGGTTAAACGTTCGCTCGTCACGCCGAAGACCCGGGTTCGATTCCCCACATGGGTGCAATGTGTGAAGCCCATTTCTGGTGTCCCCCGCCGTGATATTGCTGAAATATTGCTAAAAGCAGCGTAAAACCATATTCACTCACTCACTCACTCAAGTTGTATAAGGGAGCGGTTCGGTAGCCCAGCTGTTAAAGCCTTCACTCGTCACGCCAACGGCCATGGTTCGATTCCCTACATGGGTACAATATGTGAAGCCCATTTCTGGTGTTCCCCGACGTGATATTGCTGGAATATTATTAAAAGCGGCGTAAAACCCAACTCACTCACGCACTCATGTTATATAAAACACTGGTGCAGATCCATTCGCACGAAGCAAAATAGATTCCTTTTATATATGGATTGCTGTTGCCTGTTATATCGTGTTGAGACTCAATGAACCTTAAAAACGCATTCAATCAATACATGGGGATATAATTTTTTATATGAAACCACGATTGCTCAGATTACTTGTAGAGAGATACTAAAACGGCGTAAAACCATACTCACTCACTCACTTGTAGAGAGAAGGAATATGCTTAAAATAGAACAAAATAAAATCAAAATAAATACTTCAAGAGCAATATTTATCAATGTACACTACACAAAATTACACCTGGGAATTAAAAAAAAGACTGTCTAAAACTTTGGGAACTTCACTTACATGCATTTACCGGTACAGTATATGGTTTGTTATTTATAAACCCTCGTATGACTGAAATAATGCCGATGAGACGTAAAATCTTAACTCACTCACTGTTGTAAACCTTCACATCGAGGTTTCAGCTCTATTAGAGCCTGCAGTAAGTCTAGATCTATTCCCGCTTATTTACTTCCGGGTTACGAAGGTTAAGGACAAGTTAAATTGCCTATGTCAAGGCGGAACGTGAGTGACTTTCATGACGCTGCATTTTGGTGTTAAACATCGAGTTTCGCAGCTCTTGCCGTCACTGGCATATCGAATGAGTCATATTTGAGGATATAGTAGCTTGTCACGTAGTGTCATTTACGGTAAACATAGCCCGCTTACCGCGCTGTACGACTGTAAATGAGATTGTCAGTGGCGATAAGGCTAGAATCTAACGGCTAGGCTTTAGTAACGTTGACTCGTCTACCCTCCAGCCCAGGGAACTTGGGAATAGTTTCTCGACTAGATGCTAACCGACAGATATAAACCCATAAACTAACTACAGCGGATCTCATCTGGAGAACAGATTGCATACCCGGGAGACAGGCTTAGAAGGGTGAGTACACTTAGCATTTCTTCTCAACAATTAGCAGTTTGGGGATGGGGGTTAGGGAGGCGAACTTCACCTCGGTCCGACATTTAGACATGACCTGTGATCAATAGTGATATAAGGCTGTGTCTCCGCTGTAGGTACACGTACAGGGCTTCTCGCCACCTGAGGTGACAGAGGTCAGTCAGGTCGTTGGCTATTGTGAAAACATGTGATCGATCTTTACATGTCTTCTATAAGGACATGATAAGCAAAATTGCCAAATCACAAATAAGCCCTCAAATAGCTGCATTTCAGACAATTTCATTGACATTTGACCATCAACAATGACATGATACCTTGCAACATGGGAGGTCTGTTGACACCTTCCATTCGATAAAGTCAGAATGAACTGACTGCATGCCCATTCTCAAGCACAAATGTAAGTTTATATCAAAAGAAACTGATTCAGGTCAGGATTATACTCATGATGGTATCTCTTGTTGCTGTAGATACCATGCTCTCAGAAACAACGGGATATATAGAGAAGACTACATGAGGTCTCATTATATACGAATTATACGAAACGAGTGTCCTTCCTATGGTATCTGACCGAGCGAAAGCGAGGTTAGATAGCATAGGAAGGTCACGAGTTTCGTATAATTCGTATGTAATGAGACCGAGTGTGGTATTTTATTTATTACCCACGTCTTACATGCATTAAATTGACAAAATAGCGTATTTTGGTTATTTTTGGTTTCAAACCGAAACCGGTTTCATAAAGAGGTTATGCGAAGAGTTTTGTACTGTAGTACAATATTTGCATGACGCCACACTGTAATGACGCCACTGCCTTGGTAACAGACGCCAGGATGCATGTCAGTTGCCATCGCCTCATTACAGCCTCCTACAGTAAACTACTCCGTAGCACCCCGCTTCTTGGTTTGCAGTTGCTTCATTCGGCTAACATCACTGGTGGAAACATTCCGTTTATGTTTTTCGATGGATATAATGTCTCAGTTCGACTCACAATTAAACAGCGACATGGCAACGTTCGCAATGTTTACATTCCCACAATGCATTTAAGTTATAGAATGAATGAATTCACGTGTTTGTTATGAATGAAAAAATAGTTACGTCAGAATGTGACCTAATTGAGAGGTCATCGGTTATCCAATCAAATCGTTAGAATCTCAGGTCAAGTCGTTATGACACAGGTCAACACGATACGACACTCGTGTGACGTACGAGATTAGTATGCAACTACCCATACGTTGACCACGTGGGTAATAAAGGTAATTATCAGAACCATATTGCAGGGATGGCATTTTTCTGCTGATCCGCAGATTTCCGCGGATTTTATTTCAAATTGTTCAATTGTGAATCGTCTAAATCCATTGAGAAACCCTCAAATTGATGACACAATATTACGTTTTCAGCTGAAAATAGATTTTCCTGTTGCCATCCCTGCCTTTTGGCTATACATTGTAATAGCACAATCTTTTGCACTCGGAACTCATCCGTGAAGATTCGGGTTAGAATTGGTCTTCAGCAACTCATGATTGTCTTAAGAGGCGACTAAGAGCTATGATTGGGGATTGGGTGGGCTTGTTTTCTGACTAGTTGACTCATGTCATCTTATCAGTTGCATGGACGATGCTCATGCTGTTGATCACTGGATTGTCTGGTCCAGATTCAATTATTTACAGTCGCCCTATATTTGGAATATTGCTGAGTGCGGCGTTAAGCAACAAATAAACAAACCCATAGCTCCCAGAATCGAAACAACAGGATAGGTAATTATCTTAAACCATATACATTGTAATAGCAGTGTTTTGCACTCAGAACTCCCCAATTACAATCAGCGTCAAGAAAAAGATATGCTTGTCTGAACTCTTGGCTCACTGTTTCTCAGAATTTATTAATCTAACATTGTCATTACCTGGGGTCACAAATTGCTTAATTCTCTAAGGCACCAACATATGATATACAGAGTTGAGTACCTTTGGTGTGTCATGATATGGTGAGGCCTGGTGATTTATATATGTTGATTATCTGATAGCAATGATTTGTATCCCAGTACTTATGGTGTGTCATGATATGGTGAGGCCTGGTGATTTATATATGTTGATAATCTGATTTGGAGCAATTACTCATAAAAATTTGTATCTGTTTTTCACAATGCAGTTAAGTTCGGTTTGAAGTTGTGTTGTTATTTCATTCAAATGTTCAAATGTTTTGGATCTGAATGTTTTAAAACTCAGGGCTTTTTATCCTAGTTCATACTGGTTTGTTATGTTAAATGGGTTTCCAGATAATTTGGATTTGATTAAAGCTTAACCAAGCATAGTGATTTTGTTGTCTTTTAACTCGATCATAAGTAGTTTTTTGTTTGAAAAATAATCTTGCAATATATTACAATACATATCACCATATATGCTTTCACATCGCAATATATCGCAATATGAACATTCTTTGCAATACCCACCCCTACCTATTTCATACGTTCATATTTTCTCCCTTTTTGAAGGTTAATCACAACACTGGATCATTAAATTTCGGACAGTGAAAATGGGATAGTGTAGGGGAGAAACATAAGTTGAGAGGCACTGTGCAGATTCATCAGATAATACTGGAATCTGCAGGGGAGAAACATAAGTTGAGAGGCACTGTGCAGATTTAGCAGAAAATACTGGAATCTGCTTGAACTGATTCCTGTAACAATTTCTGGTGTTATTCACATCAATATTTATTATAGTGTAATAAACCTTGCAATACAGGAGTTGTAAATATATGTATTGTATCGTGAGCCTTGTATTATGATACGATACTGTATTATATCATTATATCATGCATTGCCAACTTGGTAAACCTGTGAGACCTGCATCACTTTAGGCTTCGTGAGGATATATATATGAATACTGGCAAAAACAGTGTTAATCAAAACTCACTCACTCACTTCGCAGATGTTACTTAAAAAGTACATTTTCTCAACACTTATTCCACCCAGGGATCTCACAACCAAGACAAACATTTATTGTGTATCTTCTTCAGTTTTGCACTAATATTTACCTACAGTTAGAAGTGTAAACAATTATATGTGTACTAGTTATTGCTGGTATCACTTCATCGTCATGCCGAGGACCCGGGTTCTATTCCCCACATGGGTATAATGTGTGAAGCCCATTTCTGGTGTCCCCCGCCCTGATATTGCTGGAATATTGCTAAAAGTGGTGTAAAACCCCACTCACTCACCCACCCAACCCAACCCACCTAGCTAGCTCACTCACTAACTCACTCACTCACACTCACTCACTCACTCACTCACTCACTCACTCACCACTCACTCACTCACTCACTCACTCACTCACTCACTCACTCAGATACTCACTACTGTTAGTGTCATCTCACTCACTCATTGTTGGCTTATTCAATGTTACTCACTCACGTCAGAATATAATAACATGACACCAGAAACAATGCCATAGCTGAAGATGGATGACATCATTCAACACTTGTGTGTTTGTAAGATGTGTCTGTGCATTTTTCTAAATGTCCAGATGATTAAGAAATGATGCATAGTCATGAAAATCTTACGCTAGGATACATGTCAGACTGACTTATCCAAACTCATTTAATAATTCATGTATTGCCGTCGCTCTCAGCTTGGAAATACAAGAAACTGGATACTTGGTTGTAAAACTGGTATGACACACCTGTCTGTGTAATAACCTTTATAGCAGCAATCATCATATCGCCTGGTTGTCAGCTGTGTATAGAGATTATTAACCGAGAGTATTTCCATATCATTAATATCATATATTAGGAATAAAATGCCAGCATAACACATATTACTTTTTCCTAATATATGATATTAATGATATGGAAACACGAGATTTATAATCTCTTTATCATATAATGTCATTCTTAAAATTACTCTAAGAAAAGAAGCAAATCGTACGTGAATTTATGTGAAGAGAATCGAACGAGAATCCTAAGAATACTTAACGGTGCACCATGTTTGCCCCTGTAAACTCGTGATGATGTCATCAATGAAATGTTAACGTTTTAGGATTCACATGGCATGTTTGGAGTTTTGTGAAAGTAGTTTGTGTATTGACCTAATTTGCATATTTATCTGGTTTGGATACCAAGTTTATCAGATTGCTTTATTGCACCGATACATTCTGTTATGAACACACAGTTGACAGATCCCAGTCGTGAATTATTAAACAACAGATGCTGACAATAAATGTTCAGCAAAAAAGGACTTGGTGATGGAAATTGTACAAACTGTGTGAGTCATCATCGGGCAACAAAGCATGAATATCCTGTACTTAGAAAGCATGAAACAGTCTGTACTTATCAGATGTACATTATTTGATACAGGAAGCGAAGAGTTAGTGAGTGCGTTTTACGCAGCTTTTAGCAATATTCCAGCAATATCAAGGCAGGGGACACCCAAAATGGGCTTCACACATTGTACCCATGTGGGGAATCAAACCCAGGTCTTCGACGTGATGAGTGAACACTTTAAATACTGGGCTATTCCACCTCCCCCAAGATGAGAAGAGAGACGTGTTCAGCATGCTTGAAGGAAAAATATAGTTGTTTCAAGTGCAATAATGGCTCAAACTTATGATTATAGTCATATTCTGAAAAATTCAAGCTAGACAGTTAGACTGTCAAGTGAAATAGTTTGCCAATTGGGTTTAAAAGCTGCCTGTCTCGACAAAGCTGCATTCACAAATGTAATTTACTAGCGTCACAGTGCATGAAATATACATCACCCTGTGTTCACAAATAGAGCATAGCTTTTCCCAATACATTCTTTACAAATGAGTCTGATGTCTCATAAGGTCAAAGTTACGATCCATGTGTCACATGCAATTACTGAGACGAGTGTGCATTACCTACTGGAGAAGTGTTTATGTAAAGGTGATGCCTGCATTGTATGAGTAAGGAAAAAGTGAATATTATTCATCTGTGATGTAGGGCTGTAACGATTCGGTTCGATTCATCGAAAT